TGCTTCCTGTCTGTTTGCCATCCTCCCCTCTGCACAGCAATCAGTTTAGTCATGTTCACTGCCTCTCCTGTGGGGCCAGACGAGATTTATCTATTTGGGCCTTTCCACTTAGGAGAGCAAGTATTTATAGAAACAGACAAATGTACTGGTCAGAGCCCAGCGGAGCTCAGCACAGTACCTGGTCTTACGTAACTTCATAAACATGATTAAATTTCACGGTGACGATCCTTTAATTTAGAAGAAATCTATGACCATGAAGAAAGTAACAGTAGTTAAAACATCAGAAAAAACTTACGGCTTCCAGGGCAACATCAGCATGGCTGTGTTAACGTCACACCAATATTCTTAACTTCTACTTTTCTAATTATATCCACATGCAGCTTAATGAATATTACACTATCTGTACATATTATTTCGACATTTGACAGAGCAGTGACAGAGATGCTGCCTGGCCTCTTTACTTTCTATCTGTGCAACTTCAGTGAGCAACTGAAAGGTCAAATTAAGAGAACAGGAGGGGATCGTTTTGTGATGGATGCCTCTAGGAAACAAAAGTGAAGCTTTAAAAACCTCTAGGAATACCACAAAGAAAGGCAGCGAACTTGCAGGTTTCCTCCACCTGCCATTTCTCCCAAGAGCAGTCATGGTTTTATTCAGACACATTATCAGCTCCCCTGCTGGAATCAACAAATTCATACCAAACTTCCTCAGTTGCTTATAATACATATAGTTTCTCAACTAGCTCCCTTTCCTGGCCTTGTCTTTGTAAAGCTAACTGCCTCAGATGTCAGTCTTTAGCATGTAATTTTTCACCCTTGAGACCCAAAAAACCAAAGCAGATTTACCCAAGCTCTGTAAAGCAAGGAAGACTCTACCTTTGCAGGGAGACTTAGGATACAGAAGTTGCTAAAAAATTAATTTAAGCTTCCAAACCTACAAAAAATGGCTACAAACTGCATGAAAATGTTAAGTCTTGAAGGTAAAGCCCAATTTACAGCCTGTTCTCACTTGCAGCACAGCTTCCAACAGCTCAACAACCAAACCCAGAGATAATGACATTCTGGCAAAGGTACTTTGCAGAGTTTTCAGTGCAAAGGAAATGAATATCTCTGCCTGGCAACTAAATTTCTCCTTGGAAAGTTCTGAACAAAAGACAAAGTCATTAAACTGCTGAATTCAACTTATGAACAATAAACGACGGGGTCAAGAGCAACATACTCCAGCTCCCAGTTGAGCCTCTGAACCAGCCCTTCCCAGCTGGACAGTAAAACCCTGGAGAGGAGAGGGCCAAATGCTGCTTTCTCAAAGTCCCCTGGGGCTAATTTTTAAAGTGAACATCCATAAACTATTAATTTATCTAAATGACCGTCGCTCCCATCTATCCTATAAACATACGATACATACTTGAAAATTCAGTTATGTCCACGGAAGACTAATGCAAAATTGCTTCCATATAGCATAGCTGAGTTTTAGACCTGTGCTAATGTAGGTAGTACCAGCTGAAAAATTATTTATTTCTCCTCACATAACTTGTAAATGGCCACCAATTTAAAGTGTTTGCATATAAGAAAGAAAAACTGTAAAGAAAATAAAGGTTCAGATCCACATAACTGGAAGAAAAGCTTTTGTCTGTTATCATCTTCTCCTACCTCCTCCAATTCCCTCTCTTCTCACATCAGTCTCCAGGCTCTTGAAGAGTGCTGTCTGTCTGTTCATTTATTATTTTATAATGCACATGTGTATTTCTAGCCAATTAGCCCTATCATTGGAAGAAGGATTCTCCTTGTAGTATTCAGTCATCAGGTTTTACCCATCTTTAAATTCAACTTCTCTCTTGAGCAATTTTATGATCTGCAAATAAATTTCAAAACCTTAACCTGACAAACTGATAGGTAAAGAAACAAAAGGAACTCAGAATGTTATTTTTAAGTCTGAATGATAATATCTTGAAGACGGGCGTTTTAAACGCATACTGATGAAAATTTTGAAGTTGCTAGAACACTTTTGATGAGCTCTCCCATAGTATCCGAAAGCAACCAGGATTTTCTTCACAAAGGCCAAGGAGAAATAATGAAAATACCTGGTCAACAGGGACTTGAAATAAGGGCCTGTATGTTAAAGAGCAGATAAAGTGCAGGATATTCAGGAGGTTTATGATCCTATAATGCATACTGCAAGGGGATTACCCTTTTAAAGATATTTATAATCCTATAATGGACACCCAAGACCAGTGACCTAATAGGTACCAAATCGAAGGTAAGTGAACCAAGAGCATCTGGGTGTGAAATGAAGTACCCTGGGATAACAAACTAACGAACATCCCTCACCCCTGTGGGACTTCAGGGACACAAGGGAGGGAAAGCATTAAATACTCTGTGCAGATGTGTTGAGATCTAACAGCACGAAATAGCGTTACCTATTAACATTCTTCAAATGAAAAAGTCTTAAGTTATTGGATGAGAGCCAAGCAATCTCCCAGAATGCTTAATAATTCAACAAGCCAGAAATAGCCAGAGTACCTTTACCATTATGTTTAGTTAAAGACCACAGAGATTAGAAAACACATTATCCATCTCAGAGGCGATTCTTTCCATGTTACAAGTCCCTTAACGACCTTTACCATCTCTCCCTCTCTCTCTCTCTCTTTTAATAAGGCTGAGCAAATGGGACTTCATTTTATCCGATTGCCACAGACTCGCGGTATTAATTATTCATGCTCATACTCTCTTTTGTTAAGGAGGTGCATTAGACTAATTTCCCTCTTTACCGCGCGCGTTGGGCAAGACTCAACCTCGTAGACGCTCCGAGGAGTGGGCAAATTCCTGAGACCAGGCAGAGTTAGAAAGGAAGAGTTACTGTACTTGAGGAGAAGCAGAGCAGTGGGTATGGGGAACTCTCTTTAAATGCTGTCCAAGAACTCAAGAAAGAAGGCTAAATTAATTCACAAAGAATTAAAGTCTCTGTAGCCAGCACAGCAAAGCTGTGAGCTTTGCTACATCTTGTAGCTAAGTGAGGTCAAGCGTGGTCGATGTCCTCCAGTTGAGACACTTCCAAGAAAAACCGAGGAATGGAAGGAAATGCTGCTGATGGAACTCTTCCATGCATCTCCAATAGCCCAGCAGGTGTTTCGGGATCCTGTGTTGTTGGAGATGTCTTTTTTGGATGGAACATTAAAACAACAAATCCCCAAGCACTTGTTATCAAAGAGCCTGTGGTACTTTCAGCAAGAGAGGGGTGTTCAACCCACCGTCCTGGCTGGAGGCCAGGAGACAACTGCTTTGTGAAACAGCTCGTTTCCCCCCGAAATGGTGCTTCTGCTTCTCGTCAGAAGTTACCCCATCGCACGGCTAGTAAAAACCGAGCTGACTCTCCGAACTGGGCGAAGCGCTCTGTGTATAGAGGATATTTAATTCCTATTTAGATGAAGTACTGAATGGAGTACCATAAATATTAGCAAAAAGTATACTGTAAAACCACACTAAAACCCGACATCCTTTCCCTCACTGAACAACACACAGGATACATTCAAGAACCAATTTCTCAGACAGAACTGTCTAGGATAGAGGCTGCTCACTGTCACTTTACAGACAGAGGATCAAAACAAGAAAAGCTCCAAGTCGCTTGAAGATGCAGAGGAACAAGCGGCAAGATTGGGAACAGAATTTGCATTTATTTTCAGATTCTGTTTCTCCCCTTTCCTTCTGCCCATCCCTCTGCCAAAAATCATTGCCTGAAGACGCACAAACATCGCCAACAAAAGGAAGGGTCGTGAAATTTCAAGTCCACCATGAATAAAAAGGGACCTGGTTTTTGCTCAGGTCCGTTCAATTCCAAGGACATCTACAAAAGCAATAAGGCTATTTCATGTGGTTGTGGCAGAAGTCATCAAATTAAGTACAACATATGGTACACACTGCTGCAAGTTTGAATTTTATTTCTAAAGGGATGTGGAAAAAAAAATATTTTCAAAGCTTACAAGCCTCAGGGGCACAGTTTCCCCGTGCAAACGTATTGAATTGCCTACTGTAAATATGGCACATAACACAGCAACAACAACAACAAAATTAGACTACCAGCAAACGCAAGGTCAGCACATTGATACTTGTACACAGAGATAAGTGTTCTGGCTCCATAAATTTAAAGATGAGCTAAGATTTAAAAGAAGCAGCTGAGGGAAACAGACAGACAGAGAGAAAGAAAAAGAGTAAATCACACACAAAACAGCCAGTGAAAAAAAATATATAAAAAACCCAGTTAATATACATGAATAATGGATGTTTGATTTAAAAGCAGTTTACTCCAATATGATGTAATTTTTGACAATCAGCCAGAGAGACTATTTTGCAAGTTCTTGCCAGATATAAGTCATTGTGTAAAGCTGGTAATACAACCATTTCACTGAGCATGTGGAAAATCGACTTTCATGCCATCCTAAAGGTGACTTGACGCTGGCAAACGAGAACTCGTATTTCGCATGCGCTGAGCTGCACCAAGCAGCCTCCAGCAACGCTTAAAAGACCCACACAGAGGACGGAGAAAATAACGGAGCCTAATCAGCTTGCAGGAAATCCAGCAACAAAAAAAGCCTGCTGGACACGCTACCTGCTCCCCCAGATATCTAGACCTACCATAAAAGTTACACAAAGCTGAAGACAAGCGCAGTTTGCTTTTTTCTTTGAAGTTTTCTCCTGACCGGAGTTAAAAAGTAAGACTCCAGGCTGAAGCGGAGCCAAGCGCTGTGCAGGCAGGCAGGGCACACGCTTGGGCACGGCGGCCGTGCCAGCGCACCTGCAACCCTCGCCGTGCCAGTGCTGGACACTGCCCCGGCCCCGGCTGCCAGCCCCGGGCCACTGCCAGCCACGCTGGGCTGGCGACGTGGACAGATGTCTGCGAGGGCCTGGATGGGGGTCACCAAACGCAGCTGACTTGTGGCTGGAGACTGATGTAAGAGCACAGGTACCCAGCGAGGAAAGGGGTTTATGTTAATCCACCTACTCATGAAAAACAATCCCTAGCCCAGAAACACGTTTCCCTTAACCTAAAGATAGGACATGGAAAAGGAAGGTAAGGTAATTCTTAAAAACTGAATGAATTCTCTAGGCTTCACAGATTATCACTGTGAATATTCATGGCACATCCTAGCAGCTTTGTTTTCAAAACCTGAGGCACTTACCTAAGCAGCTTTGCCAGTTTTGAGGTATTCACATGAACGTACAAATAGGGTGGCAAAAAAGCAGTGTGTCATTAACATAACCAATACAAAAGGCATTCTCTTTCCTTATTTTGTTTTAACTTGCAAAATTACTTCTGATCATTTACAAACACTGAAAAACCAAAATGGGTGATTCTTACTTTTCAGCAAGAGAGGGGGGTTAAATGATGCATCACACAAAGTTTAGGCAGGGAAAACTCCTGGTCTCTTTGCTGGACTGTACTTCTTGCAGTGCCTGACTTCCAAAAAGTCACACAGTTCAGATCCTTAGCAAGAGTTCTGTCTCTTCCACATGGTACCAAAGAGTTTACAAAGACAGAGATATCTAAAAGACCTTTAATCTCCAAAGATCTGCTGATACTCTACAGTCCTACAGCTCCCTAAAGAGAAATGTTTGTATGAAACTGTTTATGTTCAAATCCAGTCCCCAGTAAGACCTGCTCTTCTACTGGTATGAAAACAAGAGTTCAGAGAGATCAATTTATTGGAAACTGGGCTATTTACACAGGCCACACTGGAAATAAAACTGAAAAAATCCCACATTTTTTAAACAAGATACAACAAGATTTAAAAAACTGAAGTCTCTGGAACTCTGTGAGAACTGGAAATATCATGACACCAGAAAAGACAACACAAGCTTACCAGTTAAAAAAGAGGAGGATTTTACATAAAAAAAGGTGCAAGAAAGATGTAACGGCTTATATAAAGCAGCTATGACCTAAATACATCATCCAAGAGAGGCTGCAGTGCATGAAATTGGATATAAAGGATTACTTAAAATTTGTTTTTCAGTTAGTATTAGTTCATAACATCCACTTCAAGTGGTTAATTCTACTGGATACACTCACATTAGCACGCAGTTGAAGAACCCTGTGGAAACATTAAATACTGGAGCAAAACTAGGCAGTATTTCAACTGTTGAAGACAAGAGACAGGTGATGTTGAACACCATTCAAGCAGATGAAAAAGCGACAGCACAACTCCCAGGACATCTGATGTCAACACATCTACCCTTCTGTTCCTAAGTTGAAGGCTCTAAAATCATCACCGTCCTCCCTGCACTCCTCTCTTCCCATCTACCTGAAATAAGGTTCATCTGTGCACAAAGCAACCAAAACCACAGACGTACTCTGAACTGTGCCTTATAACGCATGGAACACAAAAGAGAGTTCTTCAGCTACATCAGTTCAAAACAAAACTCTCTTGCATGCCATATGAAGATCCTTCAGTGGGAAAAAAATGACCAGAATCCTCCCACGCTGATTATCTTCTATCACCAAGAACTGCTGAGTATGTTAAAAAATTTCAACTATATTTTAAATACAGGAGAAAGCTGAGTTTGATTCCCCCCGCCTTCCCCCCCCCGCAAAGAATAAAGCACCTATAAATTTCATAGAAATAAAGCTGGAGAGAGCTCACCTGAAGCTACAGTAGGAGACCAGACTTACTTGACAGCAGACGGTCCATGCACAGCAGCTTATAAATGTATCAACTATGAGAAAAACTTCAGTCAGTGAGAGAACTGCATCGGAAACCAGATGATGTTAATCCTGACAGCTATAATGCTACCTGTGTAAGAGCTTTACATCCTGACACGAAGAGGACCAAAGCCAGCTGTAGTTTAAATCTGTGCATTTCAATTCACATTTAACGCTCAAAGCCAAAATTCAAACACGTGCATGCCAAGACTTTGCGATGCTGCCGCAGCGTCGATACCACGGGTCTCCAAACTGCGTGACACGGGGTAATACGTTATTCGCTAGACACTGTCCTTCAAGGCACGTCCGCTGGATCTTATGAGCAGCTGTTGAGGTTGAAAGGGAGAGCCAGGGTTAGGGTTTTCCCTGTAATTCATTATCTGGGCTATACTGGTGGCCATGTACAAGTCTAGATGGGAACACAGACACCAGTACTTCAAGAATTTGGAATTTAAGGAAAATAGTACATTCCACATTGAGTTAATACAGCTGAAATAGCCCTTAGTAATGAAATTTCTCTTAGCTTAACATAAATCAAAGAGCTCCAGGAGCACTAAACAGAAAAACTTTCAAGAAATAGCATTATACTTGGGTTGTCTGATGCTTAATAAAGTGAAAGTTGAACTTCTCATGGATTAACATTTATATTCTCCCCTCTCTCCTGCACGGATGTCTGTCATCTAACAGTAGGCAAGTCTATGTTACAGATTTGATGTTTTTCTCCTCTCCAACATAAAAGTTCCTATAAAATTTATGCCTCAGATCTCTATGCTGCTGTCAGTTTTGGCTAAAATTAGAAAATTATTAAAAAAGAGGGGAAAAAGATGGTTTCCCTAACCATATTTTCATCAGAAAGCAGGTTACTAAGCAGTAGCACTAAGATTGCGAGCTTACACTAAAGAAAAAAAATGGTCCCTCAGGAAAACCAAAGAAAACCCCAAACTGAGAAGAAACAGCTTTCCCACTGCAGCAGCACAGCCGGCAGCAAACAGGGCTGGAATTCTTCACCACTGCGTTTCCGAGACTGAAAGCTCTCCTAAAGACAGATTGTCAACTTGCGACCAGCGTAATCAGCCAACGCGAAGTCCCTTCACGTCTGCGCGAGGCGAATAATTATCATAATAGACATCAGTAATTAATTTCCGGCGTGATGTCAGCTGGTGCGGCAGTGCCAAGCAAGCGTCCTTGTCAAACACACCCAGCCGTCTGGACGACTTCAGCCCCATCTCCCTGATTAGGATGCGCGCTGATGCACTGCTTAATACAATCTGCCATCAAATGCCAAATAGTTCGGAACTAAATTAGGAAATATGTCCGGCTTTACAGAGTGACGCTGGGGGCCTAAGTGGATTTCTCTATTCCTTTACGAGGCACAAAGGCGATCATCAATGTAATGCCCCTGAATGAGGCAATTTTACCTTCTAACCTCCCACCTCTGAAGGGAAAAGAACTGGATTAGGACAGCAAAGGAATTAATAGAGACAACGTGGCCTCGCAGCATCTCTCAACCCTAGAGGTATTTATGGTGGCCTCAGCATTTCCCTAGTGAACATGAATTTTAAGGGAAAATTAGATGCAGCTGGACACGTTTATTCCTAACACAGAGGTAATCCTAAATAAAGCTTTCCTGTTTTAGTCACTTGCCAAAAAAACCCCACTGCATTTGTACACTACAGACCACAGCTCCTTTCGTCTGGGTGCTCACCTCCTACTTCTTTCTCCACCTGCCTGAAGCACTCTCCTTCCCTCATTGCTGACAGCCCATCACATGCCTGAAGTATGACCACAAAAAACTGAATGAAATTAGACAGTGAAAAACTTAGGCAAGATGCAGGAAAGGGACAGAAACTCATCTCGAGGCATCTGGAATCAGGTCTTGCCACAGCTTTGTCCCTGCCCAGGCTGCTGCCACCAGGTACCTGGGATCTCAGGTAGGATTCTGTGTCCCCCCCCAAAACCACAATTATTTATGCTACCTATTTGGGTCTGCAAGCCTCAAATAGCCCCTCCTACAAGCTAAGAAGTTTGAGAAAAGCTGCATTAGAAGCAAGCCTCAGCCAGGGTTACAAAAACAGTCTGGTTTTGATCTACACTGCCACTGCTAAGATGTGCTGATAGAAGCAGCAGACTCTGTCACTGGGCTTCAAACCTACAATTATCATTTATCTTCCTTTAATACAACAGTCACACCATTCTCACCAAATTGGAAGTAACTTCATTCAAATACTCAAGAGCACACAAAAAAAGAAGCATCCTCCTAAGAGTGCCCTTTTGCACCTACAGAGCTTGACTTGCTGCTCAGGATGCCCTCATCAATAAGGCAGATGGATGTTTTGGCTTTTGGGGGTGAGGTTGTTTATTGGGGATTTTAGGTTTTTGGGGTTTTTTTTGTGAGGAGTTCCCCCTAGAGGGCCACTGACGCAGCATACAGCTGAAGGAGCTGGGACTCACTGAGGAACAGAGAATGCAAAGGATTTGCAGTGAACCCAGTCAGCTGCACAGTAATCCCTTCCTCCAGCCCACTGGACGAACACGAATAGAAGCATCAGATTACTGCATGAAAAGAACGTCTTCCCTCTACTGTCAAAAGCAGAATAGCTGGGAAGAAAACGGCCAGTAGCATGAACTCTTTCCTTTTTTAACTATGAAGGTATAAAAAAAACTTACAAAAAAATTAAATACCTGGTTGGGCTCATTCAATAACCAGCCAAAGGTTTTGACCCCAAAGGCTGCTTCACGAGCAGATACGTCAAGGCACGTGACAGGCTGACCATAGACAGAATGGAGGACTTTGCCAGGATCTTCTGCTTTCAGGAGATAGACAACGTCTTCTGCAGCTGCTACTGTCACTGGGCTCCCCATAACATCTGGAACCAGATTAAGGAAGTTGACCTAAAAAAAGCAGACTTTTAATTTTTATTACAGTCAAAAAAGCTTTTAGCTCATCACTGCCACATTCTAAGCTGAACAAGTTACTGATATGTACTGATCTTGAATCATCCTAATTATGGATTAATTTCAGTCAAAGACTAAGCATCGGTTTTAGTTCTGAACTTTAGCAAGTTTAGCTCCTATGATGAAGTATAGCTCACAGTCCTTAGAGTGAACCCATTTAAAAAAACTAATCAGAACACCTTACAACAGAATATGACAAGGTGTCACCTCAAAGAAAGGAGCAATACTTAACGGACTCATTCAGATGAAGGACAGAAAGCCATAAGGTTAAAGCACAAAGCAAATATCATGGCTAGAATGTGAACATGGTACTTCAGAAAAGGCAACACATTCATGCAACTAACACTGAATAACCAACGCTTACCCTACAATCACGTATATGTGCCCTAAATCAACAGAAAAGTCATCATGAGACTCTAGGACAGCCCAAGTATCAGCTCCTCTACCTTCTATCACAAGACCAGAACAGCCTTGCTCTTCCCATTTCAGTAAATGGTTAAGATGCTGCCGAAATATCTCTCCATGGAAGGGTTTAAACTCTCCAGCAGCACAGCTGATTGCTAACCCAGCCTCAGAAGAGAGCGTGGTGTCCTGAGTCTGTCACACGTGGCAAACCCACGTTTCACAGCAAGTACGACGCAGGAGTAAAATGGATCCAACCACAACGGAGCATGTGGCGGTGTTTTAACATTTTTACTCTCAAAATGTTTGTGGATTTTGTTTAAAGACTGACTAAGCTTTGAAAGAGGGGATTAATCAGGAGCGGTTTAAATCACAACTTCATACCCAGTCAGCTTCTTGTAATAGGAGAGAAGTTGCAAGACTCAATGTATTCCTATACTTCCTTCCCCTTTCAAAAGAAAATGTTGATACTCTGAGACATAATAAAACTTCAAAGAATGGGACAGCTTTTGATTTTTAACTAAAATAGTCTCAAAACTTCAGTGACAGAAGGTGCAACCTAAAGAACCTGCACAACTAGTTACAGCTTCGCAAGTGGTACTATTAACTTGTCTGCAATATCCTGCCTCAGAATTAATCTGATAGCACTGATCTGGAATGAGACCTCGAATTTTAGCTCCAATTCTATGCGAGAAAACTGATTTACAAAATGAGCCAACTTAGTTTAATGTTGACAAAAAAAAAATAATTAAAACCAGCCAACCTCCTGCACCATATGGACTTCTGTTCATTTTCACTTGTATCTTAAGCCAGGATTTCACCCTTGCTCTTCACTGATGAAAGCTCATCCATTAACTTGCTTCAAAATCACAGCCTCTAGCTGATAATGCTCATCTAGCTCAGGCAACACTCCTGTAAGATTTTTATAAGATCCCTCTTAACCGTACCAAAAATAATTAGTGGTTCAGGAGCTCCTGGAATGAAGCTGAGTCGCCTGGAGACTCACCAGTTTCTGGATTTCAAATGTTTCTGTAGTTTGCCAGAATCCCTTGTCATCAGGGCTTTCCACTTTGACCTCGAAGCCAGATGCCGTTGCTACCGTCGCACCCTCTGAAGCAAGAGCTAAAGCCTGTATCCTCTGGTTGTGCTGGTAACGATGGACTGGCTCCCGCCCGAACATCAGGCTCCATACGCTAATGGTTCCTGCATACAAAAAAAACCCCAACAAACCCCACAAATCAAAACCAGAACACTATGCTTTACCTTAGAATTTAACAAAGCTTTAAAAGATCATTTAAAGATGTAATCTTCTAAGCATTCTAACGGAAAAGGTTAATCTACAGAAAAGAGACCGTAGGGCAGGAAACCAGGTCGTCAGGACACTGCACAGCACACATCACAGCTTCAGAGGAAGCTTTCCCAAACTTTGAGCTCTGGCATTAGAGGCTTGTTGCTCTCTAAGTAATTCCTGATTTTTAGATAACATTGTTATGAACCTGGAGTGAGACGGCTTGGATTCTCTCACTTTTCCACATTTGGAAAAGATCAGAATTAAACAGACACCTAAATTTTTGTTCTACTATGTACTCGCCCCTCAATAACCACTAAAAATAGTGAGGAAGAACCCACACAAATTTAAGTCATTCTGCTGCACACAGAGAAGTTTTCAAGTAAAGAACCTGAAGCTCTGCACACAGCAATCGGGGGATTTTAATACCATTCTTAGCAGTTTACAGCCAGCAGCAAAGCTCCTGATTGTGAAGCTCTGGAAAAAAACAACAGAAAATGCAAAAGAGTTCAAAAAGCTAAAAGAATACAAATCCCAAAGATTCCAGGAGTACGAGCGAAAAGACCACGCACTTGCAGTTGCATTTTCCCCACCACAGCTCACTGATACTCTGTTTAAAAGCACAGTACATAAAAGCGGTAACCTGAATAAGAGCAACGTGAAGCAATCAGGAACGTATTACAGAACAGAAGGGGCAGACGGAATTGGAGACTTCTGGGCCACCTTTGCACTGAATTAACGGAGAAGCAATCTTCCGACGTGATGGACAGGGCTGGACGAGCCTTCCTTCTACTCGAGCACGGCCATTAATGATGAAATGATTAATGGCAGCTATTCCTTCAGAAGGAGACATAAAAGCCCTGACAGACAGCTGTGGACGGGCACCAATGCCAGTCTGCAAACACTCCTCCCAAGTCCCAAAGGAGGTGAAGCAAGAGTGTGGTAATGAAACTGCACATAGTGAAATGGTATCTAAATGAGTTTAAATTGATTTATGTTTGCTTTTGTAAAGATTATTTGGTATCTGGAAAGTGCTACCGATGTGAAATAATGCAGATAATCCTTAAGATCCCTGTCTAATGGCACTCCCACTGAATATTTATATTCCTCGCCATGGGAATGAGTACCATAATGGGGACCATTTTTGTTTTATTAGGGATGCATATTTAAATTAATCTGCTATTTGCCTAAACAATTAGCCGCCTCTGTTTGTTTACACAAAGCCAAGACTGCAATTAGGCTTCCATCAAAAAGATAAGTCCCGACTAAAACTCTCCCGATGGAGTCATAAGGGCTCAGAGCAGAACTTCCCAAAATTACTTCTTAGCATAATGGTAATTATGTTAATTGCTTGAAAGGTAAATAACTGCTGAACTGGTTTTGAAAAGCAGGATGCCAGCTCGCATCACACACACTTAGGCATAAAACAAGTTAACACACACAAACGGACGGCACAGGCTACACTTCCCTCCGCAGCCTGGACTGCCCCACACGAAGGCTCTGCACTTCGGTGCCTTCACAGCGGCTCCCCGGCTCCAAACAAAAACGAGGGGAATGGGAAAAACCTCATCTCCAGGACAGGTGATTTTAACAAGCAAACAACCATCAATGATAAGACTGTAGTGATACAAGATCATGGATGTCAGAACTGGATTCTTTCATCAGATGATGAATACCGCTGCCAAGCTCCTCCGAGCAGGAGTATTTTCAACTCTTTTTTTTCCAGAACATTTATCCCAATTAAAGACCATTTTTGTGAAGGGGAAAAAAGGAAGCTGATTTGCTTTCATTGAAGTATTTTGTTTAGATATCTGTGGCGAGCATTTCACTGTTTTAACAGGGTGTGTCAATGTAAAAAAGTTCTGCAAAGCACACAAAAATATTCAAGTCAAAGAACCCTCTTCTGACCACGTGAGCAAACTGGGAGACCCAGAGTTCTGCTCCCTAAATATGGGCAACAAAGCCGCTATTATTAATATTGCATCTCAAACATCATAAAAAGAGAAATCGGCTAAAACGGCTCATGCAGTAGTACAATCAAGGTCAAGACAGGTTTTGGTTTGGTTTGGTTTGTTTTAGCCAGATATTCAATAGCAAAACCTATCCAAAATATCTAAAAAAATTATCAGGAAAACACAGTGTATGCAACACCTGACAGGCAGTATGATATGAAAACATCCCTGGTAATATCAAAAAAACAAGTGACTCGTAAGGTCACAATTTAACATCTGGTTAATGAACAAAGCACAATGTAAGGAGTTAAAAGGAGAGGTCAAAAGGAATGCAAAGAGCAAGAGAATTTTTTTTTAATTAGGATGGACAACTACTTGCTTGCAACAGTAGTGTTTGTCCCCTTGCTCCTGCCCTCCTCCCAAAGAGTACAGAATTCTGTGTGTACATCCTCCCTCATCCAGTACTTGCTACTGGTCAGTAGCTTCCACCACTGTGTGCACGGACCTTCTGTGGAAACGCACTACTGCCCAAACTGGTGTGCGCGTTCATGCACGGCGCCAGGAAAACACTATCAAGGTCTACCTAGAAAAAGCAAATATTGCACTGTATTTATCAACAGGTGAAGCTGTTATTGTGTCTAAAAGTGCTACTCAGAATATTCTGTATTCCACTGCAGAAACAGCAAAATGTATTTATTAGCGTGCAAGCCTTTGCAACAGTCAATCATGTTTGTGTAAGAGCAAAAAAAGCCACCATTACAGTTAAAGTTATGAGTACGGCAACGTAAAAAAAATTAGCCATAAGATTTACCAGTGCAGATGAGATCACTACTTTACATAGTCTATCTTCCTGCCTCCAGCAGTGACCAGCACTTCATTTCCAAAGCAGTATCTTTGCTAAGGTGAAGTTAAGGTCACAACCATACAAGTATGGTTTGGGTTGGTTGTTATTTTTTTTGAACACTGTAATCTTAAAAGTGTTACAAAGTCATTAAATCAAAATTATAACCAAGACTTTCACAGGCTGCTAAAATCTGCACCACAATTGTGATTATTCCAATTGAACTTTAACAATAACTCCTCAAACCGATTTAGACTTTACAGCTTGCTTGTATTTGATCTTGGCTCATGGAAACGAGTCAGGCGCAAAAAGCTGATGAAGATGGCATAATTGCTGACACTCGACATTACAATCACTGCACCAGTCTTGTTTAGCAGTTCGCCTCAGATTGTATAAAGCATTTAGGGTTGTAACTTCCAACCCAATATTTTGTAGAATTGTGGCCTGATGACAAGTCCATTCAGTGCAACTCACTTTCAATTGTAAGGTACTTGGATGAAACCCTTAACTATGGGACTATTGTGCCTTACACAGTGCACTGCTGATCCCAACTGCACTCCAGTTTTAGTAAGCATCAACTATAGCATCTCTTGTACCTCAAAGGTGAATGGCCAGACAGCAGTTTCCATTAACAGTGCCCATCTCTAGTATATTCTCCTCTTTGCAGCTGAAAGTACAAAAATATCCTGCAAAAGCAGCTGGTTTTTATATCTGTTATCACATAGGTTTCATTCTGGTATAAAAAAAAGAAAAAGTATCTCTTTTTCTATAAAATAATGTAATATGAGGGTTGCATAAACTGTGGCAAAAAATGGTAAATCACATTGGTAAATATTATACTGGCTGTGATCGCCAGCATAACACGGCTCATCACAGCTCCTTCTACGAGCTGGCCACCGCGGAGGACGCCCGCCCGCTCCTGCTCCCTGCTCCCAGCCAGCCCCCTCAGCTGGGTTTTGGTGCAGAAGATCCTACACCCAGATCCTAATGACCCATTGCATCAGCTCTTCCACATTCAGATGATGCAGCCAGCAGTTGCTGTCAGCCTTAGAAAAGATGTAGAGCAATCTACGTGCATGTTACCTGGGGGGTGGGGGAAGGAAAAATGAAAGACAGACTTTTTATATGTTAGAGCAAGGAATCTGGATGTGCCCGTGGCTTTCATGCTCATTCACTTCAGTTTCTAAACACAGTTGCATGGGAAGGTCGGAAGCTGCTTAATTCACAGCGTCTACATGGCGTTTTTCCTGCTTGTGGGCTGCAGTCTTGCCACTTCCTATCTTGACTTAAACAAAATAAAATTCTCTATCAACTTTTTAAAACACTTCTTGGATACAATTTTTTCCTCTAAGCAGGAAACATTTATTTATTCTCTTACAATTTTCAGGTAACATCATACTTCTATGAAGTATAACAGTTAACAAAACACACAGGTGGAAATGAGCCCAGTTTGAAGTCTCAGAGCTGTTTATCTTGAATTTTGAGTTTCTCAGAAAAACATTTCTACTTGGAGGGATCACCAACACACAGCCAGCTCGACCCTGGTAGATGCTTGGTGTTTTTATTAACTAGAATTTTACCTTTTACTTTCACTGCAAAGCCGTTTCTGAGCTTTCAGCGAGTACAGCAAGTTACTTACCATAGTAAACAGTGAGTAGACCTCGGTCGTAAGAGTCGTGCCCTTATGTTACCATCAACACGATGGTTTCCACCAGTTGTTGTCAGGTTTTACCTCCATCACCCTTCTTACAGAGATTTCCAGCTGACACCGTCCCTATACAGTTCCAGACGAGAAAGTCTGTATTTTGTTCCAAACTTCGAGACAGACTCAAGGGGCAAACTTCTCCAACCGTGATGCGAAACTTCACACCCTTTACCCAAACCAAGAGTTTTGCATCCACAGCCAGCTGTACATATCTGATATGAATAAATATACTATGTGTGGTTTTCTTCAAAAACTTTTTCCTTTATTCGAGCCAGCCTGTTTCCCTGCTCCTGCTGTCTTACGTCAAGTCCTGGCACTTCGGGGAAGGCACCAAATGCACTACTCCATTTCTGTCTTTGCACGGAGGGTACAGAGGGACAACACCCGCAAGCAGCTTTAAGGGCACCAGCATGGACAAGACAGCAGATTTCCCATCTCGGGAAGTAGCACTGCCAAAATTCCCTTCCTGGAGCCTGCCAACAAGCAAGAGCCCTCCTGATCCCTGCAGAAACCACCTTCCTTTGCTCCAGGTGCTCCACTCTGCAACCTGTGAAGTACCACTAACTCCTCCCAATGCGTCTCAAAGCAATACTATGAATGGCAGCAGCGCAGCATCTCCTCACCATGTCTACACAAGGATAAAGCACGGCATTTTAAAAACAAAACAAAAGTACTTTTTCTTGTCGCAGCACATTGTTTTCAAGTCAAACTACGAGACTCAAGAGGGTGGGGGGAAGCAATGGCTAAAGTAGACCGCTGCTTCCCAAAAGCTGTGGCTCACAGCCAAAGTCAGGCAAGCATGGAGCAGATGGAGTCCTGGCAAGGCCTCCACTGTCCCTGCATTAGCAGCATCTGCTCATTACCCAGAACCCTCGCCTGCTTTATCTAATGCTCCAGGAAAAGCATTTTGATTTGATTCATTTCAGTTCGGTAACGTGCAACACAATTAGTGGTAAAATCAAACTGGAGGACTGCCAGTGCTGACAATAGGAAACAAGGCAGAAGAAATATGAGGCCAGTGGGTTGGAATTCAAAAATCACAACTGTGGATCAAGTTGCCAAGTCCCGTTGCCCCAGGTGTACACACAGTGCCCCCACTGAGTATTGGCATGGGCAGAGGGAACTTCATTTTCTCCCCGTACATTTTTCTCTCATTTACCTCTCCTTGCAGCTTGTTTCTCAGAGGCCGACACTGTTGGAAACATTCACCAGAAGTCACAATTCAATTTTTCTTTAGTGCCATCATGGAGTTACAATTCACTCTGGATACAGGCATCCCAGTAAGACAAATCTTTCCCCTTCCTATATTTCATACGCCTTGGGAAGCCTCTGCTACTACTGAACCAGCAAAACAGTGCTGTAAGGCAGGCACGGCGCGAGCAGAATCTGCCTGTTAGCTCTTCCCTGTGATCGGATGCCAAGGACATCGCTGCATGAGCTCTGTTGAACTGGGAGAAACTGATGTTATCCGAGCGAGCCTGCTAGCCAGGGACTCGACAGAGAAGTCTAGACTCTGCCTGACAGCACCACCTCCAACACTAGCAGATGGTTTCTCTGTGTTAGTCAAACTTACAAACAAAGAAAAAAAGGAGCTGGAAAAGTACAACAAAGAACAATCAAACATATTATCTTCAAAGTCATCCTCTCCCTCCTCAAGTTTAAAATCATTCTCTCCACCACACTGTAAATATATGCTTTCAGATTCCAGTTAGTAAACATTTCTAAAAATCAGTCTTTGTAATTCCCTATTCACATAGCAACTAATCTATTCTGACCAGGCTTCTCAAATCAGAGTAACTGCCATATCACAGAGCCCATTAAAATTTCTACCCAAAAGAATAAAAGATGCCGAGCTTTATGCAAACTAGTTTAGTCACAGCACACACAGGACCAACAACAAGGAATATGACAGGAAAAAAAAGCCCTAGACAAATTATTAGATTAGTCAGTGGGAGACTAGAAAACAAACAAAGGACCCTCTGCTGGTTATTGTTTGGCACACTGGACAAAAAGCCAACACTTAAAACTATCACTGTGTTTTAATTTCCCATGACTCAAGTAAATAATATTAATGGGTATTTTGTAATATCAGGCTTGCTGTTGTCAGAAAAATGTCGCCGATCAGCAATTTTTAGCCACAGAAAACCGTTCTAGCACGATCCATGCTACAGAAACAGCTAAGGATATGTTGATAATCTTAAAGTAGTTGTTTTCAGATATAAAGCATTTAATTTACTTCTAAATAAAACATACGGATAGGAGATCTTGTTTGGATTACCCATCTTTGGTCTTGTTTTCACATGCAGAAATGCCAAGATCAAACACAGTAAGTGTATCAAGCTCCCAGCTTTAGAAATACTCTTTATTCACACCCGAGGACAGGTTTTTTAAGTGTCAGTTGATACATCTTACAGAAAAGGGATAGGAGTTGAGTTCAGCCTGAGCAACTCACCCTAGGATCCCAATTGGCTATCACTGTCCAAACGGGATTTCTTAAATTGCCGTTCCCACGTTCAGTAGATGTACGGTTGGTCTCTGGCTCTTGTTACCCATCATGTAAACATCTAAGTATATTTAAAACAATGCATATAACCAGGATTTTATTAGGTTTTTATTAAATATTAGGTCACAGAGGTTTTTTTCCCCCTCTTCATCAAAGGATGTAATAACCCACCACTGCAAACCAATACTTCAGTTAAGAAAATGTGCATCCATTCACCGTGCCAAGAGCAAGAGAGGACACAGATTAATCAGACATGCAAGTTTACCAGTATTCCCATAACAAAGCTTCACAGCACCCCAAGGGAGTTTTGGACAAAGGAGGTGGAATAATATTTAATATTTTTATAGAAAAACAAGTTATTTGCTTAAGATAGTTTGGCTGGACTACAGCCTGGCACTCAAGCTTTGTGTAGCAGCTCCAGTAGGAATTAAACATCAGTTTTAATGGGTGCTATGTTCCAATGCCTCCTAATGCATTTAGGGTTATTGGCCAACTTTCTCACATAAAAGCAAGTGTGTGCGTGTGTGCGTGTATACAGGATTACAGACACAAAAAGCTGAGCACAGCTGCTTCATTTCTGTAAAGCCTTTTTGGTTGTTGTTGTTGTTGGGTTTTTTATTTTTAAATAGGGAGGAGAGTTGTGGTTACTTACCGTCCTCGTAAGCTGCTACAGCCAGAGAGCTGTTTATCCTCACAAAGGAGACACGTGGCTGAGGTCCAGCATCACCAGGACCGTGCATCGGTTCCAGGATGGGGGCTGTGTAGTCCCAGGTGCGAGTGTCCCACAGCCGCACTTCTCCTGATGTGTATCTGGAAGAGAAGGCTGCAATTCATCCCAAAACATCTGAACAGAGGTAGCCGCAGGAGGAGGGAGGAAGAAACAAGTGTCTTCAAAGCCAACGCCATTTACAGCTCCTGGACTGATTCTCCACACTGTGCAGAAGCCCATCAAGTCTTCTCATTTTATTCCCTTTTACTGAAAGTAGCATCAAGTCTACTATGGCCAGCAGGTAAACTGGAGCTACAAGAACAATACAACTGAGCTACTACAGGTTACCAACTGTCGACGTTGGCTTTACATATAGAATGCAAGGACAGCCGGGCTCAAGGGAAAAATGGTAATCAGCAACAAGTCTAAATTACATCATAACAAACCTTCGAACTGTTTCCTTTCAGTCTCTAAAAATCTGTGATTGTGGTTGTGCCAAGGAAAGGCTGTTTAACCAGAGTGTTTATGTACATACATACAAGCACTCACACACATACACCCATCCACAACCCGCTGCTCTTTAGAGAAAAACTTCTTAATGCCTCATCGACAGACCAGATTTGCCTACTTCTCTGAAGACTGATTAATGTATTTATACAGTTACGTGCTGTCTTTAGAATTAAAGCAGTGCTGCCTTCTTTATAGAAGGGTCTCTCACCAAAACATCAAAAGGACTACAATTCAAGGAACTATGGTTTGCCAATGAGAAAGTTAAAAAATATAACTCAGATTATTATCTGCATCAGGGGAGATGCACTGCTGGATCTCATCCTC